GAAAGATCTTCATTCTGATACTCGGCCAATTCAGTGTTCACCCTTCTGAAGGGCAAGCGACACGTGCAGTTTTTTGATCGTGGAAAAGAGCTACTAAAAATATGACTTAGTTTTCGGAAAGTGACTGTTCTGTGTGACTCTTTTTCATGGACTGTTGACAGTGAGCCTCTGGGTATAATTGGAAATTAAATAGGCGCTGCAAACCCAGTTCCTTTAGTAGCTCCAGTAGGAATCAGAAGACCATCTTGACTCTTTGTCCTGTGCCACTTCTGATAACCAGTCTGCTCCTAAGTTCTGTTTGGGGGGTTTGTGTTTTCTCCCTTTAGAGCATCTCATTATGTGAGAACATCTCGGTCCTACAGTTCTGCTTTACCCTAGTTCTTCGTGACCCGATTCTTAGTCACCGTGAGAGATTCAACTGGCCTCCCTGCTTGGCCTTCCCATGCCTTCTAACCATCCGACGGATAATCCAAAATCTTGACGTTTTTAAAAATATATATTTTTAATGATTTCAGAGAGGAAGGGAAAGGGGGAGAAAGATAGAAATATCAATGATGAGAGAGAATCATTGACTGGCTGAATCCTACCTGCCCCCTCTTGGGGATGAGCCCACAAACTCAGCATGTCCACTGACCTGGAATCGAACCGTGACCTCCTGGTTCATACATCGACACTCAACCACTGAGCCACACCGGCGGGGCCAAAATCCTGATTTTTATGAAAAATATTAACCTTTAAGAAACACTGCTGTCACCATGACATGTTTCTATTTAAGAAGCAGTATATTGAAATATCTCTGGTAAATGTTTTAAATAGGTTTCACCTTCTGTTGATGAATTGATTATGCAATTGTAAAAATGAAGATTCTTGATAATGTCTTCATGCACAACACAAGCTTTTGCTAACTCCTTGTTTTTGGCGTGGCTGGTCTCATGTATAGTAATGTGGGAGAGAGGTTGCCAGCACTAGTAAGGTCCTAAGGTCCTATTGTAACAGTAAGTTATAATGAGCACTGGCATTTGTAAGTAAAGGAGAAATTAGTAAAAGCTTCAGATTTTTAGTGGGGCTGATGATAACTTAAAAGGTTTGAAAGTCAACACAAAATGATCAAGCACTTTTGGATAGCTGACTGCTTTGATCTCACATTCTTCTCACGCTGATTTGATTTTCCAATTACTACAATTTCCTCTCTCTCTCTTTTTTTTTTTTAAATGAGATACTGCCCTTATGCTTTACCTCCTTTTCTCAAAATGCTACCTAGCTCTTCTGTCTATTCTTTGCTCTAGTTTCTTGACATCAGGTTTAGTTTTAACTCCGAGAAGGAGCTGATAGCTGAACATTCATCATAGAAAGAAATGCATTTGGTTAAGGAAAACTTTGTTTTTGAATGTAGTGTTTGCTTCAGGCACTACGATCTTTCAGTGTGATTCTGTAGTCTCCAAATAAATAGCCGAGCCATTAAGTGAAAGAGAAAAATACATACTTCCAAATAAATCTTAAATCATGACCAAGAAGTGCCATACCATGCCCAATGTTTAATAAACAGCCACTCTATTTTAGCCAATACATATATTGAGATAAATCCTTTACTTTAGTCCATTGCACGTTTGTTTCCAGTCAAGGGCATGCACCTCTGTTGCAGGCTGGATCCCTGGCCCGGTAGGGCGCGTGCAGGAGGCAACCAATTGATGTGTCTCTCTCACATCTATGTTTCTCTCTCTTTCTCCCTTCCTCTTCCTTCCACTCTCTCTAAAAAAAAAAAAAAAAAAAAAAAAAAAACAATAATAAAAATACCCGTGGGTGAGGATTAACAACAATAAAATAAATCACTGACTTTATATTATAACATTCGATAATGTTCTAATGGCCATTTTATTATCTCATATCAATTTTGTTTCTGATGTGTTAATTGCTCTGGTTTATATTTTTATGCCAACTTATTTTAAAAATTATTTTCAAAGAAATTACATATGTGAACTGCTTTCAAACATTTTTACTATCATGCCTGAGTTAAATAGGAATTGCTGGTGTCTTTTCCACTCAAAGGAAAGTATATCAATCATTTGAGTTTAAATAATAAAATATTTTTTAAAAAGCTTTTTTAGGAAATGCCATCAGTTACAATGTTTTGATTATCACTGCATTAAGTCAATCTTTGTCTTTCTGCTTTTATTTATCTTTTTAATGATTTGGGCAGGACAGGCATTATGCTGAGACAGAAGGCAGGGGGTGTAAAGCAGAAGTCACATTTCATGCATTTGTCTTTCAGATGGGACCCCTCTGAGCTGGTGGGTTGGAAGAACCAATGAGACCCACACGTATTGGGGAGGTTCTTCGCCTGATCCTCAAAAATGTGCTTGTGGACTAGAGGGCAACTGCGTTGATTCTCAGTATTATTGCAACTGCGATGCTGACCGGAATGAATGGTGATTTCCTTTTGCAAAATAAAAGTTATCTTTTTAAATGGATCACTTAAATATGTAGAGCTAGGTAGATACTGAACACGTTAGTTAGTACAGTGAAGAAATTAGATGCAGGTAGGTTTTGATGAAATATGTTATAATCGGTCTGAGTGCTAAATGTTAAGATCAATGTCCTTTTATTTCAATTTTTTATAGTGGGCTGTTTAGTCATGTACGTTTTTATTTTTGTAATACAATGAAAGAGGCATCTGTTTCATGTTTCCTCTTCATTCTTAGTCAGTTATCATTCTCTTTGAAATTAAGTGTAATTAAGCATTCTATTATTCTCAAAATATATTTACAGCCAGTAATTACTAAAGCACATTTCCTCAATAATTGCCTCTAAAACCTTTAAAAATGTAAACTTAGAATTTCCTACAATTATAAACATGTAGATTTTTTATTTTTTTTAAAAGACAAACCACCAAAGAACTAATGTTCTGTTGTTTATCATATTTTGAAAGAGGAAATCTGTAACATTTGAGGGATTTGAAAATTGAACTTAAAATATTCTTTAACTAGAATAAAAGTCTTAAATATGTGTTTTCCTTTGAAAACTAAAACATACATGTATTCTATTTTTTTTACTAGAGTTGGATTGATTTTATTTATAAAGTGAAAATATTATTTAATTTCCATATTCACGGTTCAACATGCCATATGTATGTTATACTACTGTGCACCGGGATCTGCACATAATAATTATTTTTAAAAATATTAATAGTCAATCTGTGTATAAATATGATTGCTTTGGTTACAGAATGTACATTAATTCCAGTAATCAGTTCATTGTCAATTGAGCTCACATTTTGAATTGTATGCTGTTTCATTGATTTATTTGGCAAACATCAAGACTATGTTGTATCAAAAGACAGATTATTTTAGAATACCCTAGATGGAAGCATCTATATGGTGTCATGATTATACTTTTACTATTACCATGATTATACTTTTATTATACCAATATACTTGGTCTAAAGTATATTGTCTCTTGCTCAAAGTCTAGTTTTTAAAATTTCGTACTCTCTTATTCCTCACTGCCTTCATAAAAACACCTGCACAGTAATATTGTATTTTAAAATGTGAATAAAATGTTCATATCAATACTTAACAGAAGAAAAAAACTAACATAATCACCAATAACTCTCTAATACCTCCATAACATATTCTTCATCAAAAATAATTTTCAGCCATAAGATTTTGAAACTTTTTATATTAAATTCTGCTATGGTTATGTAGTTTGCATAGAAATAACTTTCCCCAGAGAACATTTATAATCCCAGAAAAGCTATTTATAAAAACAACTACTTGAAGTAAGTGGAAAACAACCAAATGTAGGTAGAAACTGCTAGGTTTGGGAGCCTTTAAGCCTTGGAAGGCGGGAACTCAGGTGGTTGAGATTATGTTTATATGCCTTTTCTTTGAGGGAACTAATCAGACCACATGATATGTGGTGGCTAGAACTCAAAGAGAATAACTAGATTTTATTTGGGGGGGGGGTGGTTAAGAGGTATCAGAGCACAGTTTGGGCTGCCAGAATGTCTGGATGTTGAGGGAGAATGGGAATCCCAGATAGGAGAAAACCTGGGGGCGTCCACCATGTAAGCTTCCCTCAGCTGAGCCCTGAGCTGCACAGGCACAGAGGAGATTTCTAGAAACCAAGCAGAGAGGATCCAGCTGGAAAACTGAGCAAGCTACAGAGGTTTCAGTAGCGACTACCAGAGGAGACTCAGAATGTGGAGTTTAAGTCTCACTAGCTGAGATGAGTTTTACAAACCACTCAGCTTTCCATAGAAATGACAGAAGGTCTATGTCTTTACAGCAAAGATTATAATCGAAAACTAAGAGCAAAACTGACATACTGGTAGGCCTACCCTAATGAAGTGTAAAACCAAGCGTACACAAATTATTGCGGTAAGTTGTGATTTAACTGCCTGTGAAAACGAAAATGAATCTTCAGAACAATAATAGAACCCACAGTCTGTACAGTATCACCCCCAATGTCCAGAGCAATATAATAATTATTGCATATTCAAAAAAAGAGTCAACTCTGATTGAAAATCTAGAAAATAGAAGCACTTATTAGGAACAGACCCTGGGGTACATGCTTGATTAGCAGGCAAAAACTTGAAAACAATTATTATAAACTTGCCCCAAAACTTAGATAAACATAATTACAGGTGAACAGAGGGGAAGCTAAGCAGATAAGTGAGAACTACATTAAAGGAGCAAATGGAAATTTTAGAATAGGAACGCACATCTGATATGAAAAATTCAATGGATGGACTTCAGTTCAGGAGATTGCAGAAGAAAACCTCAACGAACCTGAAGACAGATCAGTAAACATTACTAAATCTGAAGAACACAGGAGCAACAACTAAAAGAGTGAACAAAATTAACAAAACCTTTGTGACTTTTGGAAAAGCATCATTGATTTAATGGGCAAGAAAATGGAGTCCCGGGAGGAGAGGAAATGAAAAGAGGCAAAGATATATTTGATGAAACAATGGCTGAAAACTTCTCAATCTTGTTTAATAAACGTCTGTGGTAGCAAGCCTCCAAGATGGCCCCGAGATGATCCGCACTGCCCATTATTCACATCACGGTGTAATTTCCTCTCCTTGAGGGCCGCCTGGACTTGTGACTGGCTTCTGATGAATAGAATGTGGTAAAGGTGATGAGACAACTCTCCTGAGATTAGATTACAAAAGACTGACTTCTGACTTGCTTGCGCCTCTCTGCCTCTCTCTCTGACTCTTCTGGCTTCCTTGTTCTGATAAGGCAAGCTGTCCTTTGTGGTCTGTCCTGAGGAGAGGCGCATGTGGCAGAGGATCGAGAGTGGCCTTCAGCCAACAGCCAGTGAATAACAGTTCACTACCTGACAAAGAACACTGCCAACACCCGCTTCAGTGAGCCTGGAGGCTGCTCCCCGCCCAGTCAAGCACTGAGATGACTGGGGTCCTCACAACACTTTGGAGCCTTGGGAGAGACCCTGAGCCAAAGGTTCCCTTGGAGCTTTGCCCAGAGTCCTGACTAGGATGTAGATCATAAATAGTGCTGTGTTAAGTCACACAGTTTTTGGGTAAGTCGTTACGTTACAAAAGATAACTAATACATCTTCAATGTACTCATTCCAGAAACTCAGAGAATATGAAGCAGGATAAAAACAGAAAAATGCACCTTGACTTATTGTGCAAATGGCTAAAATCTCAGGATAAAGATAAATGTTTTGAAATTAGCCAGGTTGTGTGGATCTGGTGGGACACTTCCATGCAGGGAACAAGGGTACCAATGAAGGCTCACCTCTCATTGAAGACGGGTCAGAAGTTCACAGAATGAGATCTTTCATGTGTTGAAAGAAAAAGCAAGGTCAACCTAGAATTCTGTTGTAAGCTAAATGTATTTCAAAATGAAGATAAAAGAAGTTCTTTTCAAATTAAATGCTGAGAGAATTTTTGCCAACAGAGCTGCACCGTAAGAAATGCTAACAGATATTCTTCAGAGAAATAATAACAGAAAACTCAGAACTTCAGGAAGGAATAAAGAACCTAGAAATTGTGAATATGTCAGTAAATGCAAATTTTTCTCTTAATAAAAAAATAAAACTTTACTGTTGAATTATAAAGTTTAAAACATCTGTTGTTACATAAATTATAGCAGCAGCACAAAGAACAGGGGGGAGTGTTAAAGAAATTACCCTGTAGGAAGCTAACATTTTATATTAAATAATACAATGTAAAATCTAAGTAGGCTGTGATAAATTAAGGTTGCATTTTGTAATTAATCAAGCAAATATTAAAATACAACAAGACATACAGTTAAAAAGGGAATAAAGAACATAAATACAAAAATATGGTGTAAACCAAGAGGAGGCAGGAAAGAGGGGAGAGAAACACAAGACTTCATAAAGGGAAAAAAAGAAAAGAAAAACATATCAAAATGGTAGATCTAAAAATGCAGTATCAGTCATTATACTAAATGCGAATGGGTTAAACCATTCTATTTTAACATAGAAAATGGTCAAATGAATTTAAAAATCACCAGCTCTATTATGTCTGCAAGAGAAATTAAAATGTTGCCATATTTTTATATGCTCAGATGAGCAATTTGATCCTTACTCTTGTGTGTGCAAATTTAGCTCAGAACATCTTGGCTTTGAAATGTAATAAGGCCTATTGTTTATTTGATAATTATGTTAATCAGAGTAATTTTAAGAATTTTGTTGTTACTGTGTTTTAGGACCAATGACACTGGAGTCCTTTCCTACAAAGAACATCTGCCAGTGACTAAGATAGTGATCACAGACACAGGCCGGCCGCATTCAGAAGCAGCTTACAAGCTGGGGCCTCTCCTCTGCCGGGGAGACAGTAAGTGTTGACCATGTGTTGGTAGCTTATCTGAGGAAAGTGATGTCACTTACGAGTCATGTTTCTATCATAATACAGTTAATCAGATCTTATTGTGAAATCGCATAAGTAATGTCTGAAACAGTTTTCCAGTCAGCATACCTCTACAGTGTGCAAAGCCCTGTCATAAATGCTAGAATGGCAAACCTTGTTAAGATCCAAGAAAAAGAAACCCCTGAGCTTCTGGATGATTGGTTCAGGAACACATTCCAGCACTCCTCAGTTCCCACATGCTGTTACCCATGTGGGAAAGCCTCAGTGCTGTTCAAAGTTGTTACCAATGTATGTCGGTTTCTTATTGTTGGGCCTGGGGGAGGGGGATTAGAAATAGAGGCAACTGTCAGTATAATCAGACATATTTCCATTTTTAACCTTTTTTTTTCAGTGTGTGTGTGTGTGTGTGTGTGTTTATGGAACTCAGTGGGACATGCTGTTGTGTATATTCAATGTATTAACACCCTAAACCAGAGTTTTAAGATTCAAATATAGTTGCACAGAAAATACATATTTTCATCAGGGAATCAAATAAGCATGTGTATCCATTTATAAGCTTTCTGAAATCAGTTAGACCTATAGAGACTGAATCATTAAATATTTAAGCTTTTAGTTTTTCCAAAACTTAAAATGGAAATAGAAGAAATATTTATTTACTCTAAAAGCATACAGTAAAATAAAATTTTATTCTAGGCCTCAAGAGAAGAAGAGATGATCTGACAATTCAGTGGATTTACGGGGATACCTAGCCAAAGTTGCTTAGTTAAAAAGCAAAGATGATACTGGGCTATAAAAATTTATATATACATTGTAAAAAAACTGTCTGCCATTATACCTATCATCGCTAATCTTTATCAGCTCAACTTCCTGTTCTGCCAGTAGGCCTTACACAATCACATGAAGATGACACAGGATATTTCATGGAGAGAAAAATTATGTGCAAAGAGATGAGGTTGTAAACGCAGATGCATCCAGGGCAGAGCAACAACTTTGTGACTATAGAGCAAGTGTTGTATACATCGCATGCACTTTTCACTGCCGGCTCTGAGCAGAACCTTTCAGGAGCTCAGGTTGGCTTCCTCCATCCCCTTATTTCATTTGGCTCAATCCCTGGGGAACTTGTCTGCTTTGATTGAGGTCACTATCAGCTCAAGCCCTTAGGATTTCTTTCTCAAAAGCTTCCTGCCATGAACGGAGGCACACAGCACCTTTTTACTTAGAGCAGTGATTCTCCATCCAAGGTGACTCCTCCCTCCCCCACCCCTAGTGGACATTTGGCAATATCTGGACACATTTTGAGCTGTCACGGTTGTGTGTGTGTGTGTGTGTGTGTGGTTGAATGCTCCTGTCACCTAGAGGAAGAGGCCAGAAATGCTGCTAAATACCTTCCGTGCACAGGACAGCACTCTAAGTAATCTGTCTAAATGTCCGTAGTGCTGAGTAGTAACTGTTTGTGACCATAGAGATATAGGGAGAGGGCACCAACATTAGGAGTAAGAATTTACAGCTAGTTGAAATACTTAGAGACCTGCTAATTAATCTCTGACTTATTAATAAAACAGTAGTTGAGAGCTTTCCTTGGCCTTCTTGTCTTCTGCATCTGTTTAGGGTTGAGGCTCAGCCTCTCATGAGAGTGTGTCTCCTACATCTGTTTAGGGTTGAGGTTTAGCCTCACACGAGGGTGTAGACCTGTCTGTGTATGAAGGGCTTTTTTACATTTTCTCAGTAAGAGAAGCAATGGCTGCAGAAAAAAGGATGCCCCCTTTTCTCTCTATGGAAAATCTGCCCCCCTGTAGATGAAATGCTCTAGGCACATTTTTATTCTTCGCAGTTGAGACAGACTGTGTAGATATCGGGGGCTTGTAGATACAGGATCATGCACTGTGGGCTTTATAAATGGAAGAAAGGTATATGGTCATTATCTGGAAGGCATTAGGAATGGGACATTTAAGGCTTAGAAATAGCTTAAACTTCATGATGTGCCGAAACCGGTTTGGCTCAGTGGATAGAGCGTTGGCCTGCTTACTGAGGGGTCCCAGGTTCGATTCCGGTCAAGGGCATGTACTTGGGTTGCGGGCACATCCCCAGTGGGGGGTGTGCAGGAGGCAGCTGATCGATGTTTCTCTCTCATCGATATTTCTAACTCTCTGTCTCTCTCCCTTTCTGTGGAAAATCAATGGAATATATTTAAATAAACAACAACTTCATGATGTAAATGAAATCATGAAGACCAATTATATACCTAAAGACCAACAAAATAACCTGTGGTGTAAGACAAGGAAAAATGATGAGGGCTTGAATTAAGCAGTGGTTGGATGGGGCTTACTACAGAAGGGGCTCAATGAGAGAGGTGCATTCAGTGTGATTTAGATGGAAGTTGACACAGAAATCCAGCTTTCTGATCACAATAAAGCTTCTAGTGCCTTCCATAGAGACAAAAAGATGCTAGTGCCCTTCCTTGAGACAAAGAAGTTTTAGATTTAAAAAGAAAAATGGAAAGATGACAACAAAAATATTTTGGTTTTATCACACAGACTAAAGATGTTGAAAATTTTACATCAAGCCTGTTTTTCTGGGAAAGAAGAGAACTCTTGAGAAAGCAAGACAAATAAACAAAAATGTGTATGAGACTTACTGGTTCCAGACACGAGTTTTCCCCTAATTAATCAATATTGTCTTTTTCCAAGTCCTTCTTTTCATCTCTAGAAAAAATGTAGGTGATTCTGAAATTCAGTATCACTTCTGCTATTATTGTTCGATGTCAGAAGTCATTGATAACATCATTAGGAATGTTTTACCTAAAATGCAACAGCTATGAATGATAAAGCTGCCTTTAAAGTAGTGCTGCAGACATAAAACTTAGTCATGAATTAATGTATTTATGAATATGGAAATAATTATAAATAATTTAATTTATAAATATATATATTATAAGTAGGAGGACCCTCTCTTTTACTTTCCTTTCTACTCACTCTCCCTGGAGCAGTGGGGGCATCTTCATCTTTGAGGTACCCAGTTCCCCAACTTCTGTAGGCCTAAAAATTACCTGAGCGCATGCCCGCTGTGGTTGGAGCATCTTCAGGACTCGCCCCACACGCTAAGGAGGAAGAGTAGAAGTCCAGGACTGGCTCAGGGTTAAATGTTTCTGAGCACCCATCAGGAAGATATCTACCGGGATTATCCCCTAGTTCTGCTGATCTCACAGCACAAAGAACACTCAGGAACCACGGACAGCCTCTGGCTTCACTTCCTGTTCACTCGTTTTCCTTCATCTGAGAAACCTCCCAGCCCTCTTGCTGAAAACTGTCCCTCAGATTCAAGCCCTTTCTCCATGAACCTTCTACAGGTCTCTAGAATACTTGGTCCTACACCTTCAGGGAATGTTGAACATATTAAAGCACGTATTTCTTAGGCTGGCTTTTCAGTATTTTTCGAGCCTCTCGAGAGCAGGTCCACTCTTCATTTATCAGTGTGTTCCTGGTACCTAGTACATTACCTGTTACATGAAAGATAATCAATAAAGAGCAGTTTATGAAAGAAGGAGAATGATCTATCACACACAGCTCAAGAAACCTGTAGCTTGTGAATTGTTCCTGAGAGACAGGAATAAGTTTTTGATTGTATAAGCAATTGAATGATATGCAGAGATATACGTTTAATGAAAGGAGTGGGTTATATTGAAAGGCTTTCCGGATTAAAAACTCACATGGAATTTGAGCACCTCGTTCCAGCTGAGCCATTTCTCAGCGATGCACTTGGGCTTGTGGCATGAAAGTGCTTTCAAATAAGCATATGATTTTAGTTCATATTAATACTTTTTGCTTTTCACTTTTTAAATAATATAGTGTCTTTATAAAATGGAAACACCCTTTTCTTGGAGAAAAAAATATTTTCTGACCTATTTTGCTCTGTTTTGTTTTCTGTTCTTTAGAAAAGACTTGTGTTCCTAACAATTTATATTTAAGAAATTCCACACATGTGAGGAAACAAAGGTTCTTCCTAACACTTTCAAAAGATGTTCATTATTTTGAGGCTAAGAATCCTAATAATTCTCAGCACTACAATAATATCATTTCTTGACAAATATATATATATATACCTTTATTCATTGTTTTAAATATTAAACATTAATGTTTTAATTGATATATAATCATTATAAAATGTTACAATATACAGAGATCTCAAAGAAAAGAGTTTAATAATCACCAAGAGTCACAAAACTCAGAGATACTGATTAACACTAGTGAGGATCATTCCAGACATTGCTAGATGTCCCTAGGGCAGGGTTCCCCAACCTTGGCATTGGACTGGATAATTCCTTGTTACGGTTGGGGCTGTCCTGGGCACTGTAGGGCACTTAGCGGTATTCCTGGCCTCTCCCCACTAGCTGCCAGTAGCACTGCTCTCCCAGTTGTGACAACCAGATATATCTTCTGACGTTTCCAAATGCCTCCTGGGATGCAGAATTGCTCCAGGCTGAGAACCACTGCCCTAGACAGAAAAATAGAAAGAGATTTATAAATAAATTTATAAAACTTTATTAATTGAAATTGAGGAAGAAGAAACTGAAATGAAGCTAAAATTATTGCTTTATATTATGTATATATCTGATAAATATATATTCAAATTGATGATCCCTCACAACTCCTACTATTTGTAATACTTTAAACAATAAAAAATTATGAAAAATTTAAAAGGCTATAGAGTCACCAGGTTTTATAGTAAACTAATTTTTAAAATTTAGACAGTATTGATGTATTCTGAAAACTGGGAAAATTAGCACTCATTTGTCCTATCCTTTCCTTTTTTCCTCCACCATCTAATTTTTGCTATTATTTGTATGGTTGTTTATTTTTTTAGTGCTAACCACTAGTCCTGTCATCAGAGCTTTTCTATTCTTGACTGATTTTTATTTGATTCATTTCTTCTTGGGTTGCACTGTCAGGTGGTTGATATTTTCAGTTTTT